CGGACTGGCCGGCCGGCGCGGCCAGGGGTAAGCGATCTGGGCTGCAAATAGCACGTGTGCAGGGCCGGTTTGGGACCCCTCCCCACCCCCCCTCCTCCTAGCAAGCCGATGCAGTGCTTGCAGCACCTGCTCCAGCCGGCCCGAGGCAGGTGTCGCATGCAGCACGGGTCCTAGAGCGGAGCAGTGCAGTGCAGTCCAGTCCCGCACCAGCCACAGTGGCACCGGCACCGGCCGCGGGGCAGGGGCCTGTGGGTCCCGCCACCTGCCAGATCCAGGACCTGTACTGCACGCGGGGGCTGGATCTGACACGCCTGGCTGGGGGGGAGGGGCAGTCCGTGGACCCGATCCAGCCTGTGGACCAGTCCCGTTGCACTCATCTGGTGCACGGGGCCAGCTCACTTTGTCACCCCTGCCTTACAGTAAGCATTAGCCAGGAATTCATTTCTGTTTGCTTTTCTGGGCAGTGAACCAGATAGGGCTTTTCCATCTCTAATGGTTCAGGTTCTCGAACCTCACCTGAATTACCAGACCCCTTTTCACCTGTTTGTTTTTCCTTTGAAGATGCATTTTGGGCAGTCAAACCTGAGCTAAATGCAAGCATGTTACTGGGTTAACAGTACGTTAGGGTCAAGCTGAAAGATATGGCTCTGTGAAGAGCTGCTCTTTATTTGCGGTAGTGCTGGGTACATGAGTGACTGGCACCTCCTGAATTTGGGGGGGGGTGCCTGCATAAGCCACCACGGTGGCAGCCCTGCCGGGGGGGCACCAGCCTTACCAACAGCATCAGTGTCCACTGTCAGGGGGGGCTCGTGCTCCTCTGTGCACCCTCTACCTGTGGCTATGTCGCCTATGGCTGGGTATATGTAAGTTTAGTCTAAGAAGAGAAGTATAAGTCTATAAGGGGGGGCACATTAGGATCCGGGAGAACTGTTGTTCACCAGGGCCCCCCAAGGGATAACTAGGTATAACGGCCACAAACTCCTGGAAGGCCGATTTAGACTGGACATAAAAAAAAACTTCTTTACAGTCCGTGTGCCCAGGGTCTGGAACAGACTCCCCCCAGAGCTGGTTGGTGCAAGCACCTACTGTGGACTCATTCAAAAGGCGCCTGGATGCTTATCTTGCTGGAATCATTTGATCCCTGCAGACTTCCTGCCTCTGGCAGGGGGGACTGGACTCAATGATTTCATGAGATCCCTTCCAGCCCCTAATGTCTATGAAATCTATGAAGAGAGGACACAAACCAAGCAATAAGTAGCCCAGAGACAGACAAACAGCAGGTAGGAGGAAATGAACCAACAGATTCACAATACATGTGCACAGTGCACACACATGTACCTGTACCTGTCTGCGTGCATATATATGTGTATGTGCACTTGTGTGTATATAGGGCAGGTCAGTTGTTCCCAAGTTACAAGACAGTCTTTAAATTAAAGTTAATGTGCTGGAAGACTTTCATCACTTTTAACCTTTTTACTTTATTTCAAGCAACAGCTTATCTATTAAGTGAGGAAAGGGTGGGGAGAGTAAAGACAGACTGTAACCAGTTAAACCAGAATTCTCCAAATGCTGGCTGGATCTAGCACCCAGTCCAGGCAGGGCCTTCCCAAATAAAAGATCTGAGGTGGCTCTCTGTCTACTAACTCTTTTGCTAATTAGCCCAGTGCACTGCCAGGCAAACGTGACTGCCCTCAGTCTCTGTAACTCTGCAACATGCCTTGCAAGTACAGGGGAGGGAGGCTGTGGAGTTATACAAGGGGTTGGAGGAAGTGGACTCTGGGGCTGTAGTGCCAGGCCTAGGGTGGGAATAATTGGTGGGCTGTGTATCTCTGCAAGATGCTCTGAGAAAAGCAGGCTATTGGACTGCATGTGGTGCTGGAGCATAAGTGGTCTGTGGGATTGCATATTAGAGGTCTGTGGAGAATCATGGAGTGTTCAGGCTAGTGAACAGATGTTAGACATGGAGGAACAATGGATGTTGGGACTATGGGACCATTCTAGGAGTGCATCAATAAAAAATTGGGGGGCCTTTACGGATGGCCGATTATTAACCAGTCATATCAGTTGATACCGATCCGATTGCCAATATGCAGCCTGGCAGTTTGGAGAGCAGCATCCAGCCAGTAAGTCTGTTGTGGGGAAGGAGCGTAGGGGAGGCAGATTGAGGCCCCTGCAGTGAGGCAGGGGCTGGGGTAGGCGCTGCACAGCCGGGACGGAGTTGCAGCTGGTCCGAGGGAGGGGGAAGCAGCTCCTGCCTCTGCACGTACCCCTGGGGCAAGCATGGGGGGCACATGCCCCCCCTGGATCTGTGTGTGGGGTGAGGGTGGGCTGCGCACTTAGGGCCAGGGCTGTGCCAACCTCTTCCTGGCAGGGGCTAGGGCAGGGCGGATGACGGCACTGGGAGGGGTGGCTATGGCAAATTTTGGGGTAGCCATAGTCCCCCCCGTAATCCTCGCTCTGTCCCACACTCCACCCCATCCTGGCTGGGCAGCAACTGCCCCAGCCCCACTCCCTCCGTCACCGCGGGGGCCTCAGTCTGCCCCCCACCACCACGCCCCTTCCTCCCCACAGATTTATTGACCAGATGCTGCTCTCCAAGCTTCTGGGCTGCACTCCTGGCCGTATGCATTCTACGGCTGCTCACATGCATGTGACACTTATCAGCGACATTATCAGGCACATTAGCCAAAAAAAGCCAATTGCCAGTAATGTCAATTTTCCTTTTATCAGTGCCGATACAATATGGACCAATGCATCAATGCACCTCTAGACAGTTCATATGTAGCATCCTTTGTGTGTGGAGGCAGTGGCTAAGGCTAGAAGATATGGGGCAGTTTAGGAGAAGAGCACTACTACCTACTGATAAAAAAGATGAACTCCTGGTACAGGGC